AAAAAAAAAAAAAAAAGCTGTCATTCCAAACTCAGTTTTCCAAGCCTTGTCACCCTAAGCTCAAGGCAATAATAAATAAACCCATTTATTTATTTATTCTGCTGCCAGCCAGAAGCACAACCAGCCCCACCCAGGGGTAGAGGGCTGGGCATCAAARCCCATGGAGCTGATTGTCCATCCTGGGAAACACTTTATGGTTCTGCTGGACCAAAAAATGGGTATTTAACCCAATTCACCAACCGCTTCCCCCCTCGGCAAAGGCTTGTTTACACCATAAAAAATCCCTCCTGCTCCACCAGGTCCCTGTCAGCAGCAGGCAGCTGGCTCAGAACCTTGGCAATGTCTCTAACAAAGGCTTTTATGAAGTGGTTTTATTTATGCAGCAAAGAGTATCAGCAATTTGGGGAGCTCCGGGACACACCGAGGCTCRGGAGCGAGAAAAACGCCTCAGCAACACCTGAAGAGAGAAAGCACTGCACAAGAGGGGCTTCAGAGCTGCACAATGGCAGTCTAAAGATCAGGCAGGTTAGTAATTAATGATGCTCCTGTTAATTAGCAGTGTGGTGAGGGTGGCAGCTCTTTAGTGTAGCAAAAAGGAGAATTAAGGAAGTGGGAACTGGAGTGTCTTGGGCTCCACAGTGCAGTCGTGAAGGACTTGGATCTCTTCCACAGCCAAGGATGTTTCCCCATGGATCTGACCAAACAGGACCAGGAATTCTGTCCGTTAACTCTTCCAAGTGTCCTCCTGAACCAGCAAATGTCTCAGGGAAGGGCAGGGGGATGAAAGGGAGCAGGGAGAAGCTGTTGGAAGCTCCTGAGGCCGTGCCTGCCCACATAAGGCACCCTGGGGAACAGCACAGGGGGGCGATGGAGCCAAGCCAAAGGGTCCCTGAGCTGACCTGGCTTCCCAGGTTGGGGCAAAGCGCTGGGCATGGAGGGGGGCAGCCTGGACAATCGCAGAGCCAGCCTGGCTCCTTCCCTGGGCCACAGCAGGCGTTCGAACCACAGCCCAGCCTCGGCAAGAGGACGCTGTTGGACTCAGACTTCTCTCTACCCTCCACAAGTTGCTATTTTTCATCCCACTACGATCAAATGTTGCTCTAAATGATTTAATCCCGTATGGAAACAATTCGCTACGTTTGACATCAAACCATCCTTCCCAGCGCAGCCTGCTAATGGAGTAACTGGAGATGCCATTATTCCACACAGGAGTTAAAATATTTTTCCAAACGAAGCYGTGGCCACACAAATGGTAAGAAAATGTATCCTGTCACACTGGTAGTGACATTGACACCAGGTATGGTGAGTCCTCCTCTACAAATAGTGCAACAACACTCCAAGGTTTCCACTCGGGAGTAGCTCCACTTCCCAGCAGCAACAACTAAACCAGGTGGATAAAGTGGGGCAGCTCAGCCTCTGATCAAACTTTTGGAATGAATGAGATTCAATTGATATAAAAACACCCAACCAAACAAAAACACCGCCAAAATAGAAGTGAATTATCTGAAAGCACATATTCCAAATTATCTACTAAAAGCCACGTGGATGCACCACTGGAAAGGCGAACTTTCTCCAGCAGTCAAAGGCAGGATTGACCTAAATGTCACCTCTAGGAAATGGGTCCACTGACAGGAATTGGTTTTTGTTTATGTGCCAAGGCAACATCACTGGCCCCCTGAATTGGTTCTGCTGAACGCTCACAGTGGTCCCTCAGCCCCATTTCGGCCCAGCCAGACCCTGCTCTCCTGGGACRAGCTCAGGAGCAAAGCCATGGAGGAATTGTTTCCATGAAAGCCTGGAGATGACAGCTCTGTCCTGCAGAGGGAAGGAGTGACACTGGCGTGAAGTCCCAAAAGCTGGAAGGGTGAGAGCACCAAGCTGCTGCCCACACCTGGGAACTGCTCACCCCTGCATCCCTGGGCATCCATCCCTGGGGAGAAAAGATCTCCAGCACCTACAAATAGCTGTGAGTTCCTGGGAGGAATGAATGCTTTGGAAAAGTCCCGAGGCCAGGACAGACCTCAATTGCTGACACAGATTGTGGCTGCACGCGGTCCCCATCTCCTGACACCGAATCCCGTGGGATCACTCCAAGGAGGGAGGGAATTTCTGCACTGAAAGGTCACTCTTGGGAAGGGGCTGCCCAGGGAGGTCCTGCAGTGCCCAGCCCTGGAGCTGGCTATGGAATGTGGCACTTTGGGTTGGGGACAAGGTGGGCATCGAGCACAGGTTGAACTCAAGGACCTGGGAGGACTCAGGGATCCTGGGATTCCTCAGAAAACAAAAAGAAGGTGAAAGCGTGAAAGGGGAAGTGGGAGAAKACGTGAGGCAAAAGGACTTTGGAAAACAAGAAGCACTTTCACCCCTCTCCCACTCTCCCTTCTCTCTCACTCTCCCTTGCCTTYGCTATTTTTCTCCCCCTGCATCTCTGGGGCTGCAGGGATTCCTCTGAGACACAGCAGAGGAAAACCCTTGTCCAGGCTAAAAWAGTTTTTCAAGACATGCAAAGCCTCACAATTCTCTTTCTCCCATGTAGAACCTACAAGCAGGTTTTTCCCCTAAAAAAGAAGCTAATCCAAACTGTCCTAAAGGTTTGGAGGCTGGAGAGGTTGAATGAATCTTTTTGGCCATTTACTGAAACTCAAGGAGTTCCACCCAAACCTGAGGAAAGATTTCTTTCCATGGAGGTGGCAGAGCCCTGGAACACCTGCCTAAGGAGAGCCTGGAGTCTCCCTTTCCAGAGACATCCCAAATCTACTCTAAATATTCCAGGATTCTTCAATTCCCATATACTACAAAACCCACAGAAGTAATATTTCTTTTTCCTCCTCCTCCATTGACAGTTTGTCATC